CGTTTCACTTGTACACAAGTACTATCCAAAATTTGAAAGAATATTATTCAAATCATGAAAGTGATTTTCCATAATCGGTCCTTTTTCGAGTTATTTGCTTTTGAGAATGTACATTTGAATAATATTTCAGTCGATTACTTCTCAAAGTAGATTTCTGCCAAGTTGAAGTCATACTATCAAATCCGCTAAACATTTTCATACTGAAATGATATTCTTGTGTTCTAAGGATGAACCTAGACGTTTTCTAGAAACATTGATTCAGCTAATAGAGGAAACCAAAACAAATGCCTTCACCAGTTGGAAGAATGATATTCAAATCTTCAAACCGATTTCTCCTTGGTCATTCTATCAGATTCCTCGAATATTTTGGTATTCTTGTGTTAGAGAAATTGATTCAGCTAGAGAGGAACACAGAATTAGTGCCTTCAAAATTTAATAGAATGAAATTCCCAAACCAATGCCTGTGTTGCTTCCTTTTGAAGATATTTGCCCTCGAAAGTGAACATCTGAATAATGTTTTCAGTCGATAACTTACCTGTAGTATTTTTGGTTCGATTGATATTTTGGAAATGACTGAAATCCTATCACTTATCAGTTTGAAATTTGTCAACAGAAGATTTTTGAATAGGAATTGATCATACTATCAGATTTCTCGAACATTGTTGTATCGAAATGGTATTCTTGTGGTATCAGAAAAATTGCTAGTGACACAAAATCAGTGCCTTCGCCAAAATTGAAAAAATACAGTACCTATAATGAAACGTCAAATCCATTTTTCTCCTCCGAATGAACATAAAGAACGAATTCAAAGCAAAGTGCCTTCCTTATACTCGTGGATTCTCATCCGACACATCCTTCCAAGATTTTTGTAACGAAATGGTATTCTTGTGTTAGAGAAATTCAAAATTTGAAAGGATGGAATTTTCAAACCGATGCCTAAGTCGCTTCCTTTCGAAGATATTCGCCCTTGAAGGTGAAAATCTGAATGTTTTCAGTCGATAACTTACCTATAGTAATTTTGGTTCGATTGAAATTTTGGAATTGACTAAAATCCTATCACTTATTAGTTTAAAACTTTTCAATATAAGATTTTCAAATAGGAATTGGTCATACTATCAAATTCCTCGACATTGTTGTAAAAATTGATTCAGCTAGAGAGTGACACAAAATCAGTGCCTTCGCCAAAATTGAAAAAATACAGTACCTATAATGAAACGTCAAATCCATTTTTCTCCTCCGAATGAACATAAAGAACGAATCCAAAGCAAAGTGCCTCCCTTATACTCGTGGATTCTCATCCGACACATCCTTCAAAGCAAACTCTCCACATCTGGCCCCATTCTATCAGATTCTCCGAATATTTTTGTAACGAAATGGGATTTATGTGTTAGTGTGTTTAAAAGTTTAAAAGTGTTTAAAAGTGTTTTTAACCGCCAGCTTAGTTGCAAAGCAACCCTCGAAAGTCAGAGACTTGTGTGAGTTAAGAAGACGGGGACCTTAGCTTTTTAAGTGTCATCCGAAGCAGTGAAATTCAAAATTTGAAAGGATAGAATTTTCAAACCGGTGCCTAAGTCGCTTCCTCTCGAAGATATTTGCCCTTGAAGGTGAAAATCTGAATAATGTTTTCAGTCGATAACTTACCTATAGCATAGATTAACCGTTAATCTATGCCTATAGTAATTTTGGTTCGATTGAAATTTTGGAATTGACTAAAATCCTATCACTTATTAGTTTGAAACTTTTCAATATAAGATTTTCAAATAGGAATTGGTCATACTATCAAATTCCTCGACATTGTAAAAATTGATTCAGCTAGAGAGTGACACAAAATCAGTGCCTTCGCCAAAATTGAAAAAAATACAGTACCTATCTTCGGTACCTATAATGAAACGTCAAATCCATTTTTCTCCTCCGAATGAACATAAAGAACGAATCCAAAGCATAGTGCCTCCCTTATACTCGTGGATTCTCATCCGACACATCCTTCCAAGCAAACTTTCCACATCTGGCCCCATTCTATCAGATTCTCCGGAGATTTTTGTAACGAAATGGTATTCTTGTGTTAGAGAAATTCAAAATTTGAAAGGATGGAATTTCCAACCGATGCCTAAGTCGCTTCCTCTCGAAGATATTTGCCCTTGAAGGTGAAAATCTGAATAATGTTTTCAGTCGATAACTTACCTATAGTAATTTTGGTTCGATTGAAATTTTGGAATTGACTAAAATCCTATCACTTATTAGTTCAAAACTTTTCAACATAAGATTTTTAAATAGGAATTGATCATACTATCAAATTCCTCGACATTGTTGTAACGAAATGGTATTGTTGTGTTATCACAAAAATTGATTCAGCTAGAGAGTGACACAAAATCAGTGCCTTCGCCAAAATTGAAAAAATACAGTACCTATAATGAAACGTCAAATCCATTTTTCTCCTCCGAACGAACATAAAGAACGAATCCAAAGCAAAGTGCCTCCCTTATCCTCGTGGATTCTCATCCGACACATCCTTCTGAGCAAACTTTCCACATGGGGCCCCATTTGCGAGTAGTATCGGGCCCCACTTGTGGGCCCCCGGCCACCAACAATGGCCATAGTCGTAAAAAATTCACGATCGACTTTGGAGTGTGTTCCGCTGCCGCTGAAAACACTCCGGGGAGCCCGGAAGGAAATAAAAGAGGCGGCGCCGAAACGGTTTACCTTTAATAAATCAACGCCGTCGGCCGATGATGGGGATCTACTTGTTTGTGTACAGAGTGACGAGCTAGAATTTTTCCAAGAACTTACGAACCAAAACTGATGTATGAAAATTAATCGAGAAGGTAGAAAATATTAATGTTTTTTTTGACGGTAAAAAAATAGGTCACCAACTGCTAGGATACTTTTTATCTTCCATTCCATTTCGCGGCTACCTACATTACTAAAGAACCACTGAGGTCGCAATTGTTTTTAAAATCAAATCACAGAATTAAATTGATAGATAGGTATTTAATTATTTCAGAAGGTTTCCATAGCAACAAAAATGCCTGCAACGCAGTTGTAATTGTCGCAGCCTACCAGTTGAAACATTAAAATTACACAGTGAAAATAAAAATCCTGAAATGAAAAAAAAAAACTTCTACCGAGGAAATCCCACTCTCCTATATTGGTGAAGAAATATTTCATCGAACTGAGAAATAATTCATCTCGATTTGAAACTTGAATCTTTCCTTCAAAACGATACAATATTACGTTTGTTTGACGCAGCCTCAAATTTTCCGAACAAAATTCACGAATGTATTGAAGAGAAATGCTGAGAGATATTCGGTGAGGAAATCAGCTATGATTCAATCTCTGCTTGAGAAAATTAATAACTGCAATAAAATATTCCCACATGTTTGGAAAGATCGAAAAAAGTACTCTGAACAAGAATATAATGAATCTTTATCTACAACTGTCAAGTAATGATTATGATTTGACACTTTTTTGAATGTCATAATGACGTTAATTACCGCACTAGTGCGGTAATGGGATAAGAAATAAATTTCAACCAAAATAAATCGTACATTGAATGAATACAAAGAAAATATACACACATTTACAATCATATACGTCTTTTGTCATAAAATTGTACGAGGAAGCTGATTTGAAATGTACTAAGTACCGTCTGATATATTTCCAATTCAATGTATTTTAGGTATAAGTATGTGCGACACGTATATAGATTGTTTTCAAAAGAATATTTCGAATTATCGGAATGGAGAAGTACAAAATGACTGATTCAACTCAGATCTTTCACTACACACTGTTTTTCCACTAACCAAACCGATTCTTCACACCTCGACACGTGTTTCGCCAACTATGTTAGCATCTTCAGGAGAAGATTAGAACTGATCTTTCAAAAATGCAGCGAAATAGTTTCTGTCAGTCTCGTTCATGCAGCTCTCAATTAATTGCGTTCACATTCTATCAATACAGCAACTTGGGAGAAAGGAATATTTTTGTATTGAAGTTTCTTAGCATAACTTTCAAAATCTTCGAAATCGATAATTTTCAGCTATTAGATGCAGTATGACTTTTTTTATTCAATGTAATCAAATTCTTGATGGAAGATAAAGGTGAACAAAAATCAGTTCAATTTATATGTACTTCTAGATATGACTGTGGATGTTTGATGATTATGAACTAGGATAACGAGGGTGTATATGTATTGGTTCAATGAAACAAAGTTCTATCTGGATGTAGATAGGACCATGATAAACAAAATTTCCATATTATGTAGTTAGGATGTTGTTACACCGAATTCAGAGAGAAACGTTCTGTAGATAGACCTCTGCATTATGACTAACTCACTTAAATTCCAAGGGATTGCAATAGTTGACCTCTCAAGATGGAGAACTCAGCAGATAGAACCCTAATATACCAAAATCTCAATTTTGGTTAAAATAGCAGATAGAACCTTATATTATTCCAGGTCGACGCAATCATAATAAAAGGACTGGTGAAAATTGCTACTTAGTGTCTTTTCATCAAATCGGTGAAAATAATGATCTCTCCAAATACAACTCGTCCCTCAGATTTTATCCAATAATTTTTTATTTTCCTCACTCAAACTATTTCATTTGAAACAAAATCATGGAAACCGAAATTAATAAAATCACTCGTCCTATGGACAACGGTTTGTTTTCATATTCTTGCCAGATAAAAAAGTTTTCAGGGGTGAATACATAAGAGATAATGTTGTCATGGCAAATAATCGAGAATCAAGGTAGTGACAAAAATTTTTTCTACTTCTCTTGATTCTAGATTTTTTGCCGAATGACAATCAAATTTGAATACAATTTGAAATGTATTCATGTATCTATGTATTTATGTATTTGAGGGAATTAGGGAAATTAATAGACAATTACAGAATGAAGACAATCTGGTATGGAAAAAAAAACGACATTGTGTCAAGAAAACTCGAAAATTATCTGAAGGTAGTGACGGTGACAGTTGTTGTCAAAGTATAGAAGTTCGTTGATTGAGAGCAAGGTATGCATATTTATAGGTTATTGGAAAAGCAAGCTAGCTTTTTATTACTACAAATGCCTGGTGATTAGTCGGTTTTAGGAAATTGAATAAATTTCATTGGTTCTCAGAATAGGCGTGTTTTAAACGTAGAAAATTGAATAAATAATCAATAAAATTTGAAGGACCCGTGGTATCACCATTGATAATTTCGCTTTCTTTCAGCCCGCGGCTTCGGAATGCGCGTGGTGGGCGGAAAAACCGCCCCCGACGGCCGCCTCTTCGCCTACATCGTGTGGACGGTGCCTGGGGGGCCGGCAGAAAAGGGCGGCCTCCAGCAGGGCGACAAGGTGCTCGAATGGGGCGGCGTCTCTCTCATCGACAGATCCTTCGAAGAGGTAATATCCTCCTCAATACTAAATATACTATATCGAAGACTGGAACCTTTGGCACGATAATACACTACACTGTTTTACCACTAACCAAACCGATTTTTTAACGTCTCGACACGTGTTTCGCTAACTATGTTAGCATCTTCAGGAGAAGATTAAAACTCAATTTTAGTTAGTTAGTTAGTTCAGTTTTAATCTTCTCCTGAAGATGCTAACATAGTTAGCGAAACACGTGTCGAGACGTTAAAAAATCGGTTTGGTTAGTGGTAAAACAGTGTAGTGTACTAAATATACTGTGCTTTTCTTTAATGGTTCCCCCCCTTCCCCACCCCTTCATATTTTGAAGCACTTGGAATCATTAGATTGCATTTATTATTCAAATGAAACTTCTACCTATATTAACAAAGAAAAACATGATAACATTACAGGAAGGACCTGTTACACGGTATTTTATCATTTACTAGCTGTACCCTGCTGTTTTTACTAAAATAAATTTGAAGGAAAGGCAGTACACAAATATTGAATTCATTTTATTGATTATAGCTGACCCCTTGAAACGTTGTTTGGCTATGTATAATATTTCTAGAAAATATTGTTCCAGTTGAATATTTACAACACACTATTATTATTTCATTTACTACTTTTTAATTATCGACCAGTATGCATTAGACTTGGTACCTTGATATATTTTTTTAAACTTAAGCAAACTTTGTCAACAAGAATTTAATTTCTTATGAAAATAAAGTATATTCTCTCTCTCTTTTGTTTAGTGTGACTAACCACAAAAGCGTGTTTTCTTAGTTTTTCAATCTACTATTTATTTTTGGATTTATGATAAATTGATTTTCATCATACATTGAGAATGCGAATTTTATTTGTGTTCATAAATATATCTGAGAATATTCATTTTCAATACTATTTATTTTTTACTTACTTCTTTTCAGTTTGGTAATGCATGTCTTTAGTTTTCTAAACCACTATTTATTTTCTCCTTGTTTTTAGTTTGCCTATCATTATGAAAGCGTGTTTCATTAGTTTTTCCGAAACACTATTTACAAAGCTCGTGTGAGATTTTGAATCCGCTATCTTGAATTTCCTAATCATGACGGAGGTATCATAATCTCCGACCCCGAAAACACTCAGATACCGATTTCTTTCAAAATTTGACGAAATAATCATAATCTCCGAACCCGAAAATCCTAAGATAAAAATCTTGAACAGAATCGGGTCATGATTACAAAAGTCGTACGTATCATTGGATACGCCATTTTGAATTTTCAAATTTTAAGGAAAGAATCATATTCTCCGACCTAAAACAGCCCCAGATACCAGCAATTTTGAATAGAATCAGATCATGATTACGAAACTCTTCCGCCATATTGAATCCGCCATCTTGGATTTCTTGTTTTTTTCCTCATAAGAACCTTCTCTTGACAATAACAAACATTACAAATAAGACTTAGTGATATCGGTCTAGCCGTTTCACGATTCTTCAAAGGACAAGAAGACAAATATTCATTTTTTGTATATAGATAGATAGAATTTAAAACACCCCGTAACAGCTCCTGTCTGTTATGTTATAATGTTTTATTGTTAATGTATGGATTGAAGTTTCATTTGAATAATGAATGGAATACAAACATCCAAAATATCGAGATAATAATAAATACACATCAAATAATTATTTTGAAATATTTTCTTGCGTCAAAATCATGAAAAAACGTGAGAACATGCTTCTCGAATGCATAGAAAATATGGAAAAATATGAAGAAGCGTGAAAAGGTATCGAAAGAGCATCTTACATGCTTAAAATGAAAAGAGTAAAAAAATAACATTTCAATGTCAAAGCCATAGAAAAAAAATGTCAATACAAAAGTAATGAATTGCATGGATTATATAGGTGTGCGCCATAATGGACAGGACCGGTGATACGGTGGAGCTGCAAGTGGAGCATGCCACTGATTTGAGGATGTGCGATCTGCTGGATGACCCTTTGCCGCCCTCCAGCACGGCTTTGATGAACAGAAAACCCTCGGACGCTAATGTCTCCAATTTGTATATCGGTGAGCACCAACGAACTAACTAACTAACTACTAACTTACTAACTAACTAACTTACTAACTATTCATCCCCAGATCATGAAAATCGAAACAATCATCATCATCTACAGCGTGTCTCATTTCAAACGGCCCCCCCTCTATATCTCAGCTATCAGTCGTGCGATCTTTATCGAATCGGGCATTTTTGCAAGTTTCAAAAATCGCAAAAATGCTTGAAGATTGCGAAAATTGCCAAAATTCCAGAAAATTGCAAAATTGCAAAAAATCCGGAAAATTGTAAGAATTCCTGAAAATTGCAAAAATCGCAAAAATGACTGAAAATTGCAAAAATTCCTGAAAATTGCAAAAATCGCAAAAATTGCAAAAAATCCTGAAAATTGCAAAAATTCCTGAAAATTGCAAAAATCGCAAAAATTCCTGAAAATTGCTAAAATTCCTGAAAGTTGCAAAAATCGCAAAAATTCCTGAAAATTGCAGAAATTCCTGAAAATTGCAAAAATCGCAAAAATTCCTGAAAATTGAAAAAATCACAAAAATTCCTGAAAATTGCAAAAATCGCAAAAATTCCTGAAAATTGCAGAAATAGCACAAATTGCAAAAATTCCTGAAAATAGTAAAAATCGCAAAAATTCCTGAAAATTGCAAAAATCGCAAAAATTCCTGAAAATTGCAAAAATTCCTGAAAATTGCAAAAATCGCAAAAATTCCTGAAAATTGCAGAAATAGCACAAATTGCAAAAATTCCTGAAAATAATAAAAATCGCAAAAATTCCTGAAAATTGCCAAAATTACTGAAAATTGAAAAAATCGCAAAAATGCCTGAAAATTGCAGAAATAGAATAAATTGCAGAAATAGAATGAATTGCAAAAATTCCTGAAAATTGCAAAAATTCCTGAAATTTGAAAAAATCGCAAAAATTCCTGAAAATTGCAAAAATCGCAAAAATTCCTGAAAATTGAAAAAATCGCAAAAATTCCTGAAAATTGAAAAAATCGCAAAAATTGCAAAAATTCCTGAAAATTGCAAAAATCGCAAAAATTTCTGAAAATTGCAGAAATCGCAAAAATTCCTGAAAATTGCAAAAATTGCAAAAATTTCTGAAAATTGCAAAAATCGCAAAAATTCCTGAAAATTGCAGAAATAGCAAAAATTGCAAAAATTCCTGGGAATTGAAAAAATCGCAAAAATGCCTGAAAATTGCAGAAATAGCAGAAATTGCAGAAATTCCTGAAAATTGCAAAAATCGCAAAAATTTATGAAAATTGAAGAAATCGCAAAAATTCCTGAAAATTGCAAAAATTGCAAAAATTCCTGCAAATTGAAAAAATCGCAAACATGCCTGAAAACTGCAGATATAGCAAAAATTGCAAAAATTCCTGAAAATTGCAAAAAGTCGTGAAAATTGCAAAAATGCCTGAAAATTGCAGAAATCGCAAATATTCCTGAAAATTGCAAAAATTGCAAAAATTCCTGAAAATTGCTGAAATAGCAAAAATTACTAAAAATTGCAAAAATCGCAAAAATTCCTGAAAACTGCAAGAATCGCAAAAATGCTTGAAAATTTCAGAAATAGAATAAATTGCAAGAATTCCTGAAAATTGCAAAAATCGCAAAAATTCCTGAAAATTGCAAAAATCGAAAATATTCCTGAAGATTGCAAAAATCGCATACATTCCTGAAAATTGAAAAAATTCCTGAAAATTGAAAAAAATCGCAAAAATTCCTGAAAATTGGAAAAATCGCAAAAATTCCTGAAAATTGCAAAAATTGCAAAAATTCCTGAAAATTGTAAAAATCGCAAAAATTCCTGATAATTGAAAAAATCGCAAAAATTCCTGAAAATTGCAAAAATTGCAAAAATTCCTGAAAATTGCAAAATTCGCAAAAATTCCTGATAATTGCAAAAATCGAGAAAATTCCTGAAAATTGCAAAAATTCCTGAAAATTGAAAAAATCGCAAAAATTCCTGAAAATTGAAAAAGTCGCAAAAATTCCTGAAAATTGCAAAAATTGCAAAAATTCCTGAAAATTGAAAAAATCGCAAAAATTCCTGAAAATTGCAAAAATTGCAAAAATTCCTGAAAATTGCAAAAATCGAAGAAATTCCTGAAAATTGCAAAAATCGCGAAAATTCCTGAAAATTGAAAAAATCGCAAAAATTCCTGAAAATTGAAAAAATCTCAAAAATTCCTGAAAATTGAAAAAATCGCAAAAATTCCTGAAAATTGCAAAAATCGAAAAAATTCCTGAAAATTGCAAAAATTCCTGAAAATTGAAAAAATCGCAAAAATTCCTGAAAATTGCAAAAATTGCAAAAATTTCTGAAAATTCAGAAAATCGCAAAAATTCCTGAGAATTGAAAAAATCGCAAAAATTCCTGAAAATTGCAAAAATTGCAAAAATTCCTGAAAATTGCGAAATTCGCAAAAATTCCTGAAAATTGCAAAAAACGAGAAAATTCCTGAAAAATGCAAAAATCGCAAAAATTCCTGAAAATTGCAAAAATTCCTGAAAATTGAAAAAATCGCAAGAATTCCTGAAAATTGAAAAAATCGCAAAAATTCCTGAAAATTGCAAAAATTGCAAAAATTACTGAAAATTGCAAAAATCGCAAAAATTCCTGAAAATTGCAAAAATCGAGAAAATTCCTGAAAATTGCAAAAATTCCTGAAAATTGCAAAATTCGCAAAAATTCCTAAAAATTGCAAAAATTGCAAAAATTCCTGAAAATTGCAAAAATTCCTGAAAATTGAAAAAATCGCAAAAATTCCTGAAAATTGAAAAAATCGCAAAAATTCCTGAAAATTGCAAAAATTGCAAAAATTCCTGAAAATTGAAAAAATCGCAAAAATTCCTGAAAATTGCAAAATCGCAAAAATTCCTGAAAATTGCAAAAATCGAGAAAATTCCTGAAAATTGCAAAAATCGCAAAAATTCCTGAAAATTGCAAAAATTCCTGAAAATTGAAAAAATCGCAAAAATTCCTGAAAATTGAAAAAATCGCAAAAATTCCTGAAAATTGCAAAAATCGAAAAAATTCCTGAAAATTGCAAAAATTCCTGAAAATTGCGAAAATTCCTGAATATTGAAAAAATCGCAAAAATTCCTGAAAATTGAAAAAATCGCAAAAATTCCTGAAAGTTGCAAAAATCGAAAAAATTCCTGAAAATTGCAAAAATTCCTGAAAATTGAAAAAATCGCAAAAATTCCTGAAAATTGCAAAAATTGCAAAAATTACTGAAAATTGCAAAAATCGCAAAAATTCCTGAAAATTGCAAAAATCGCAAAAATTCCTGAAAATTGCAAAAATTCCTGAAAATTGCAAAAATCGCAAAAATTCCTGAAAATTGCAAAAATCGAGAAAATTCCTGAAAATTGCAAAAATTCCTGAAAATTGAAAAAATCGCAAAAATTCCTGAAAATTGAAAAAATCGCAAAAATTCCTGAAAATTGCAAAAATTGCAAAAATTCCTGAAAATTGAAAAAATCGCAAAAATTCCTGAAAATTGCAAAAATCGCAAAAATTCCTGAAAATTGCAAAAATCGCAAAAATTCCTGAAAATTGCAAAAATCGCAAAAATTCCTGAAAATTGCAAAAATTCCTGAAAATTGAAAAAATCGCAAAAATTCCTGAAAATTGAAAAAATCGCAAAAATTCCTGAAAATTGCAAAAATTCCTGAAAATTGCGAGAATTCCTGAATATTGAAAAAATCGCAAAAATTCCTGAAAATTGAAAAAATCGCAAAAATTCCTGAAAATTGCAAAAATTGCAAAAATTTCTGAAAATTCAAAAAATCGCAAAAATTCCTGAGAATTGAAAAAATCGCAAAAATTCCTGAAAATTGCAAAAATTGCAAAAATTCCTGAAAATTGCAAAATTCGCAAAAATTCCTGAAAATTGCAAAAAACGAGAAAATTCCTGAAAAATGCAAAAATCGCAAAAATTCCTGAAAATTGCAAAAATTCCTGAAAATTGAAAAAATCGCAAGAATTCCTGAAAATTGAAAAAATCGCAAAAATTCCTGAAAATTGCAAAAATTGCAAAAATTACTGAAAATTGCAAAAATCGCAAAAATTCCTGAAAATTGCAAAAATCGTGAAAATTCCTGAAAATTGCAAAAATTCCTGAAAATTGCAAAATTCGCAAAAATTCCTGAAAATTGCAAAAATCGAGAAAATTCCTGAAAATTGCAAAAATTCCTGAAAATTGAAAAAATCGCAAAAATTCCTGAAAATTGAAAAAATCGCAAAAATTCCTGAAAATTGAAAAAATCGCAAAAATTCCTGAAAATTGCAAAAATTGCAAAAATTCCTGAAAATTGAAAAAATCGCAAAAATTCCTGAAAATTGAAAAAATCGCAAAAATTCCTGAAAATTGCAAAAATCGAGAAAATTCCTGAAAATTGCAAAAATCGCAAAAATTCCTGAAAATTGCAAAAATTCCTGAAAATTGAAAAAATCGCAAAAATTCCTGAAAATTGAAAAAATCGCAAAAATTCCTGAAAATTGCAAAAATCGCAAAAATTCCTGAAAATTGCAAAAATCGCAAAAATTCCTGAAAATTGCAAAAATCGAAAAAATTCCTGAAAATTGCAAAAATTCCTGAAAATTGCAAAAATTACTGAAAATTGCGAGAATTCCTGAATATTGAAAAAATCGCAAAAATTCCTGAAAATTGAAAAAATCGCAAAAATTCCTGAAAATTGCAAAAATTGCAAAAATTTCTGAAAATTCAAAAAATCGCAAAAATTCCTGAGAATTGAAAAAATCGCAAAAATTCCTGAAAATTGCAAAAATTGCAAAAATTCCTGAAAATTGCAAAATTCGCAAAAATTCCTGAAAATTGCAAAAAACGAGAAAATTCCTGAAAAATGCAAAAATCGCAAAAATTCCTGAAAATTGCAAAAATTCCTGAAAATTGAAAAAATCGCAAGAATTCCTGAAAATTGAAAAAATCGCAAAAATTCCTGAAAATTGCAAAAATTGCAAAAATTACTGAAA